ACCTTTGAGTCGCCTGGTTGTTTGCCCAAGAAGCGTCTTAATGTCCAGTGAGTACAACTGGGCCCCGTCCTCCAAGCACCAGCCCCATGCGCGATCTACTGCAACATCCTCCGTGCAGACCGCCAGTGCTCTGGTCGGTGTCCCCCGGGCGCAACGTAGCATGCCAGGATGTTGAGAGGGTACACAAGGTCAGGTCGAGTGCAAGTCATCAGGTACATAAGGCAGCCCACAAGCTCTTAATACTGACCACTCGGCTCTACGGACTCGTCCGAAGGTGGAGCTGAGAGCGAGTGACCTGTAGGCAGAGGAGTGGACTGTGGCAAGGAGAACTGGAAGCCGAAGCGCTGAAGGACCTGGTGCACCATGTGTGACTGAGTCAGAGTGATGGTGTGCCGTGCTCTGTCCCGGGTGATCTGCAAGCCAAGATAGCTGCACAGCCCACCCAAGTCAGTGCAGTGTGTCTCTTGTGCAACTCCGACTTCACAAGGGCTAGTGGCTCAGTGTCAGGAGTAGCAAAGACCTAGTCATTGACGTAGAAACAGCGATGGGTCAGCAGTAGAAGGAGCAAACCCAAGAGCCGCAAGCATCATCCTCAGTCTGTCGTACCACTCGCGAGGCGCTTGGCGGACACCGTAGACTGGCCGTCAGAGGCTCCACTGGGTACCCTTGGGAAACAACCCAGTCAAGCCAGGTGGGCGGCGCAGCCAGATCTCCTCGTATAGGCTGGCCTGCAAGAAAACTTTGCTGAAGTCAACCAAGTGGAGCTCGTAGTCACGCTGTGCTGCAACGTGCAGTAACACCCGAAGAGTGGTCATCTTTGGGATGGGGGTGTAGCGGCTTGGCAGGGCAGTGCTGGGCAGCGTGCTAGGCAGCGCTTGCAACGACCAGGCAAGGCAAGGAAGCGCTCTGCAGAATGGATGGCAATGCTGTCGGCAGCCAGGCAAGGAAGGGCAGGCTGGGCAGCGCATGCAGGCAGGGCAGCAGTGGCAGCGGCCGGCAGCAGTAGCGGTAGTGCCCAGCAGCATTGGTGGCAGCAGCAGGCAGTCGCTGCGGCTTGGCAGGGCAGCGGTTTCGGTGGCCAGGCAGGGCAGAGCAGCGCTGGGCAGCGTGCAAGACAGCGCTGGCGGTGGCCAGGTAGGGCAGAGCAGCACTGGGAAGCGTGCATGGCATAGCTGGCGGCGGCTAGGCAGGGCACGGCAGGGCAGCGCTGGGCAGTGCGTGCAGGCAGGGCTTTAGTGGCAGCGACCGGCAGCAGCGGCTGGCAATGGCCGACAGCAGTGGTGGCAGCAGCACCAGCAGCTTGGACGAAGGCATGTCAACGTTGCAGCATGAGATTGTGACCCGCCGTGCTTTTTGTACGCCAAACGAGCCCCTCCCTAGGAAGCATCTCTCAAACTATACCCCCACTAGCGCGACCCGACGAAGAAGCTTAGTGTCAAAGAAGAAGAGGTGCTAGTGCACCTCGAAGTTGAGGAGTTACGCTCCAAGTGCATCGCAGAGGCAAGCAGCCTGCAACACATAAGACAAGGAGGTGCTTCCAATGAAGGATGGATGGGGAATTTAAAGCGGCGCAACATGTGGCAATATCGAAGACGCCTGGCCAACCGCTGGTGGCGATTGGGGCACCACATCTGGTGGATGGGATGGCACCAATGGCGGCTGGCAGCACCTGCACAAAATCCCACTGGAAATTGTTTTCACGCAGCTGTTCCACGATCCGTGATGTGCAGCCTACATCTTTGCAGCGACAGTATCCTGCTCACGGTTTATGTGAATGACTTACTCTACAGGGACAAACAATGTGCCACTCATTCAGTTTGAGAAATATCTCTCTCTCCGCGTCTACAATACCACGAACCATGTCTTAACACGATTTCTGCCATTCACCTCTGAGCCTTCAAGCATGCTGAAACACTTGGAAAACGCTTTACCATTGCTTCCACATCACTCTCAACACCTTACTGCACACTTGGACCGATACAAACCGGACAACAAAGCCATATCCCTAGTAGGACTTCGCATACCAGCAGCAGTTCGAAATGCCTTCTCTTCGCTTCTATTATCTGCGGGCCTAATCTCTTCTACATCGCGAGCCAACTGGCTCAATACGCATACAAATCAACGGCTGAGAATATTTTGGATTTACAGACATCCAGCTATACTGCTCTACGGTCACAACTCCCTCATTCAAGCTCGTCGGCTACGTGGATGACGATCACGTTGCGGATTCCGACTATCGACGGTCGAGAACTGGCTTCTGTTTCCGACTCGAGCCAACCGGAACACCCTCCATGAATTCTGAGGTTCATGAGCTAGTCACCCTTTCATCAGCGGAAGCAAAATCTATCGTCGCCACATCAGCAGTTCGCAAGAAGCTCTACCGTCATCACCCGGATAGAAGATAGTGTTGAATTGAAGACATGGGTGTCTTTAATACGGGTGTTTTCTTATAAACGGAAGTTCCTTTTATAGGAGACCACATTACCGATATGGGATAAGACATGCATGTCTTATAAACGAAATATAAAAACTTTATGTTGAATTAGGTCATATCGAGTACGTTTTCGCCTAAGCGCGCGCGAATTCATTTACACGATGACTCAGATGATGGTGTATCTGAATCACATGCTGCGTCAGCAATTTTTTATCGTGATGCAGCGTATCCAGAAATGTCGGAGTCGTCCCAGCACCGGTTTCTGTGTGGAAGACTGGTTCGTGGGAGTTTATACAGTAGTATGTGAGAAATTGTTTATCTTAATAGTTTCCCGTTTATAAGATTTATAAGATACCCATTACCTTCCTTTTACAAGACAAACAGCCAGTTTTTGATCCGATATCAGATAAGACCCATATGTCTTATATCCGGGCGATGACGGTAGTATGTGGCAGCTCTGCCAGAGCTACAGAATGAAGCAAAAATTCTAATAATCGAAGTGCAATCAGGATCACGAACAAGCAGAGATTCGTCAATCGCACCAAGCACATCACGCTGCAATATTGTTTTTTTCAAGGAAGAAATTGACAAGGCCAAGGTCGATTTGACGTATTGTTCGATCGGTGACATGGCAGTTGACTTCCTCACGTAGAAACTTCATCGTCGACAGTATCAGCACCGCACCGAATCAAGCGAAGTCGTCAAGTGAGTCAAAACTCTCAACTTGAGGTGAACCTGGCAAGGCCACACGTGGGGTCATATCAAACTAGAGTAAGGAAAGAGGGGTTTTCCTTACATGTGTTGTTAGCCAACTCACAGTTTGGAAGAGCTCTCTAAGAGTGTGCTATGTCATAAACTACTAGTGGGAAACCCCGAATGGTGTACAAGAACCAGCCCTAGTCAGATATTTGTGCAGCTCGATGGGAAGGGGTTGGATGGACGCATGTCTGACTCATACATACATCGGAGTTTTGACGAATCACATCACATCGACCTGTTGAGCTCCCGTTTCCCGCTCGCCTGGAGTTGAGGCTCGGCATGCAAGAGCTTTGGGACGAACTTCGCATACCAAACCACCACCTCACCGCCACGAGCCACCGAACAAATCAGACCAAACCGAACCATACCATTTTTGCCGAACGTAGCTGCTTGTAGTTCCCCTTCTTACTCCTTTGTGATTCCCTCTCCCTCACATCTGTTTGAACATCTATTTGAACAGCTTCCTTCGAACAGCAATATTCGCATCGCAAGGCCATCCAGCACCTACTTTACCGTGTTTCAGTTTCCACTTGCCTTGTTTGGGTATGGCGATGACAACGAAATACTCGGCAGCTCCATCGTTACCCAGCAGCAGATTGCAAACGTGCTACTCTCGTACGCATTCACCTTGCTACTCAGACCGCCCGTTGACTTCACCTCTCTGTTCCTCACGCCTGCAGTCCGCTCGCCCCGACTCGAGCTGTCGCCTGTCGCGGCTACACCTCGCTCTGCCCCCTCGCCCGCTGTCTGTCCACTCTGGACCGTCACGGCGCAGTCTCGCGCGCCTCGCGGTTTCGGCCGAGCAGCGGCAAGGAGAGAGCGACGATGGCGGCAGCAGGGGGCAACGCGGGGCGGGCGTGAGGGACGACACGAGGGATGGTGGAGCGGGGAACAAAGGGCCAACTGGGGGCGACGATAGCAGCAGGCGGCGGAAAGCGGAAGATGCGGAAGGGGAGAAGTGTGGAGTGGGGCCGCGGATGGCGGGCGCGATGGAGTCGCTGCTGAGATTCATCACGCCGCGACAGAAAGGCGACATTCGCGACATCACGCTCGTCTCGCTCTCCTTCGCCGTCCTCGTCTACATCTCGCAGCGCCTCGTCTGCGCGTACTTCGCGCTTCTCGCCGCCACGCAGTACTGGTAGCGTCGATGCCGCTTGCCTCCACAGGGCAGGAGAGTCACAGTGCGCGCACCGTAAGGCTGGCGAGCGGGATGCTGGGTTGCAACGCAGCAGAGGAGGGTTGATCTGTGTCGTGCGGGTTGAAGTGGCCTGACAGGAGGTCAGCGTGATGCAGCAAACGCACGATTGCAAGGCCTGTGAGGGCCCTCTGACATTTCGTATCCATCAGGCTTGTGTGTGACTACGAAAGCTTGTAGGGCGTTCCCTTCACCTCCTTTCATTCATAGTGGTGCAAAGAGATTGACTGCATGAATCAATTTTCATTTTGCAATGCCCTCCCAGCGGACGGAACCAATCTCAGGTTGAAAACGGGCTCCTTTCAGGTCGTATGGTGTAAACCGCCCATACCACTGTAAAACGGACCGTACGTGGCCCATTATCCCATCCAATTTCAGTGGTGCAACCAAGTGGAAGTACGGTACAAACCATCCACAAGCTCCAACCCCTGCAACACTGTCCTCAACATGAAACCATGTCTTCTTGACAGTCTGTTGCCCACGTCTGATACGGTACACAGGACCTACTGATGGCAAATGTGAAAACATCCTCTAGCACCAGTGAGATAAACACACAAACACAGCAGATCAATTTCCATACACTCCAAAACCTAATCTTCTATCTGAGCCTTACTAGTCATTGTCAAGAAGCTCATCCCATCCTCCTATGAAGTCAATGTCATTGTCACTGTCATGGCGATACTGATGCTCAATGCCATCGTGATCCCACCAACCAGTGTCCTCTGCCTCCCATGCCTCATCATGCTCCTCTTCTATGTCCACCACTGCATCGTCTCCACCTCCCTCTTCCTCTTCCACATCCCCTCTCCCTTCGCCCTCTCCGTCTCCCTCCTCCCCATCCTCCTCATCTCTCCTTGCACTCACCCCTCTCATATCTCGCTGGGAGAGCAGAGGGCACTCACGGATGTTGCACACACGCAGCATCGCCATCTTCCTGAGAGAAGACGGGAGACGGGTCAGCTGCGTGCACGCAGACACCTCCAACTCCTCAAGCTTAGGCAGCCGAGTGAACGAGTCCGGCAATCTTCGCACAAGCTTCAGTCCCATAAGCAGCAACTTCTGGAGGGAAGCCAGCTTCCAGAAGTCATCCGGAATGGTGAAGATACCGACCTTGACAAGAGTGCAGGTCCGTAGCTTCGATAGGTTCACAAACGACTCTGGAAGCTTCTTCAGCTTGAAGCAATCGATAATCGCCAGCTTTTCAAGCTTCTTCAGCTGCCCGAGAGACTCGGGCAGCCGCCGCACTGAGATGAGGTACACCAGCTGCAAGACACGCAGCCCTGCAAGCCTTCCAAGGGTCTCCGGCAGTGATTTCAGAATAAAGGACGAATCAATTTTCAGCCTTTGCAGCTGCAAGAGTTGAGAGATGGAGTCAGGGAGGGAATCAAGTCTGTTCATCCCCAGGAGCTTCAGTTGCGTCAGAGAGGAGAGGCGACCAAGGGATGGACCGAAGGACTCCACATCTTTAGACCTAACTTTCAGTCTCTGAAGGGATGGAAGCAGTGTGCTGCTGCTGCTGCTGCTGTTGCTGTTGCTGTTGCTGGGCAAATAACCACCAGCGGTACATTCATGCTCCTTCTCATCCCCTAGCACCACGTCCAGCCCTTCACATCCCCGCACCTCCAACACCCGCAGTCGCGGCAACTCAAGTAGCGCCGGAGGGAGACGTTTCAAGCCGTTCAACCGTCCAAACTTGACCACCTCGAGCGCCTTCAGCCGTCCGATCCCCTCTGGCAGGACCGTTATTTTAGGGCAATTGATCAGTTCCAGGCTTGTGAGCGAAGAAACACCCAAGAAGGAGGGAGGGAGGGCGGATAAGCGTGCCATGTGCTGGAGTGACAGCTCCTTGAGGCTCTTCAAGCAGCCAAAGCCGTCTAACAAGGCGCCCCTGAAGTGTGACGAAAAGTAAATCTTGAGGGTTTCAAGAGACGTGAGGCCGGAGAAGGATGGAGGGAGGCGGGTGAGAGCCGTGCATTCCAGCAGAAGCAGTTGACGCAAGCGGTGCAGGCCATTCCCCATGTCATCTGGCAACACCTTGATATTCGAACACTTGACAATCTCCAGGTGCTCGAGAGAAGATAGCTGCGACAGGGAGTCTGGGAGCTGCTGCAGCTGCCTACACTCCACTATTTTCAGCTTCCGTAGAACTTTCAGCTGCCCGAGGGATTCGTGGAGGTGAGTGAGATGTGGAAGGCACTTCAGGTACAGCTTCTCCAATGCAACCAGATGGCCGAACTCGACAGTCGGAGATGTCATTCCTTGGAAATTCTTAAGGGAAAGACCTCGAAGTGTAGTAACCAGAGCGATGGAATCAGGGAAGGCTGTGAATCCCGAGAGGTCCAGCACGAGTGTCTGAAGCTCTGACAACTGCCCGAGATATTCGGGCAGCACTGAAAGTCTTGGCATGTTGAGGGTGAGACTGGTGAGAGGCATGCGAAAAAAGGATTCGGGCAGAGAACTGATGTCATAGCAACCCTTGACGGTTAAAGTTTTGATCCGCTTCAAGTGCTCGAGAGCCTCTATCAGATCCCCCATTCCCGCCACGCCTTCTAATACTACGGTTTCGAGGCTCTGCAGCTCACCAAAATCAACGCGCGACGGTAGACGAATTTCGCTTCCTCGAATCTCAAGTGTGACGAGGGAAAACAGATTAGTAAGAGAGGCAGGCAGCTGCAATATCAAGTCGCAACGCAATAGAAGACGGTTCAGAGCAACAAGTTGACCGAAAGATCCTGGGAGTGACCCCAAGCGGCACGCATTCAGCTCCAAAGACGTTAGAGAAACCAGATTGCCGAAATCTGGAGGAAGAACCTCGAGCCAAGAATTATTCAGCACGAGGCTTCTTAGAGCTTGTAACGAGGTGAACGTGCTCGGAAGACGCTTGACGCTTGCCTTGAGTCTCAATTTTCTGAGCAATGTGAGTCGGTCGATCGACGTGGGAATGTCAGCAGCAAGATCCGACAAATGCAGATCGAGATCTTCCAGGCGCGTACACCCCTCAAACAGAGCAAGGAGGCACTTCTCAGTTACAGCTCCGTAATTAGGTCCACGTGATCTCGGTCCAACACGGAGCTCGGTCAGATTGGGACACGTGCTGGCGAGGTGAGCGAAGAAAAAATTCGGGGACGAGGTGAGGTTGTCAGAGGAGAGAATAAGCTTTCTGAGGTTAGTGAACAGGGACAGAAGCTGAACGAGACGACGCGGATCGATGCGGAGGGTATTTGACAAGCGAAGCTCGTGTTGCACGTGGTACGCGATTTGCTGCCATTGCTTGCTAACGAGAGCGTGCTGCAGCTGACCATCAGGTCGAACCAGAAAATGAAATATTCGAGAAAGAAGCTCGTCAGGTAACCGCTGGATCGGCGACCCGGTTGACATTGTGAAAGGAAGAGATTAAAGATATGAATGGCTGCTCGCGTTGTTGAGCCTGCTACTAATTAGGTAGTCTCAGCTCCGCTCGTGTTTCCATCCCCACCACATTTGCGAAAAGGACAACGACAAATGGCGAGCTCCCATCTCAACTTGACCCTGCAAAGCCCACCCCCCAAATGCGTGGGCAGCTGCTTGCTGGGAAGGTGATGGTAGTGTGCTGCGTACCCGTTTGTGGGTGACATGGGGGGCAAAGGAGCAGAACAGATTTGTGGTTATTCTTATGTGGGTGCAAATGGGTCGTCTCTTACAGTCATGAACCGCCATGCTAGACAACAGCTAACCAACTCGTAATCAATCGGCAATGAACAGTAGCATACAAAGGGGTGGCTCGTGCGAATAGCAACACGCTCTCTCACAAGCAAACAACTGTAAAACCAAAGCAGCTTGCACAAATTGCACCAGCACCAAGATAAATCCAGACTAAGCTAGTACCCTAGTTCCCATCCCAATCCCATCTTCCATTCAAGATCACAACTTCTCATTCTACCATAACAACCTCCTTCCACCTTGTTCTTACATGGTGCTATTCCTCCTCGTCATCACTCACCACCCAGCCTCCCCCATCGTCCCTGTCATCATCACTGTCCATGCCATACTCATGCCAAACATCCCAATCCTCACCACCACTACTCTCTTCCTCCTCCTCCCACCAGTTCGCCTCTTCCCCTTCCACCATCGCATTTCCTCCCTCCTCACCCTCAGCCTCCTCTGCTGCCTCCCTGTCCGCCTCTTGCCTTTCCACCACTGCATTTCCTCCCTGCTCACCCTCTGCCTCCTCTGCTGTCTCTCTGTCCGCATCTTGTCCTTCCACCACTGCATTTCCTCCCTCCCCACCCTCAGCCTCCTCTACTGCCTCCCTGTCCGCTTCTAGCCCTTCCACTATCGCATTTCCTCCCTCCTCACCCTGTGCCTCCTCTCCCCCAGCAATTGCCACTCCCTCTCCGTCCTCCCCATCCTCCTCGCCTACCCTTGCAGGAATCCCCCTCCTGTCTCGCTCTGAGAGCAAAGGGCACTCACAGATATCATACACGCGCAACAACGGCATTAGCCGGATAGAAGACGGCAGCCGAGTCAGATTCTTGCATTCAATCACCCGCAGCACCTGCAGCCTAGGCAGCTTCGAGAAGCACTCTGGTAAGCTGCGGACCTGCTTCAGTCCCAGGAGCACCAATTCTGGGAAGACAGCTCCCAGAAATTATCAGGAAATGTCAAGATTCCAAGCTTAGTGAGGGTGCACGATTGCAACTTGGACAGATTGGCAAAGGATTCTGGCAGCTGCATCAGCTTGTAGCAGTCAATAATCTCCAGCGTTTCAAGCCTTTTCAGCTGCCCAAAAGACTCGGGCAGGTGCCGTATCGTAATGAGGTGAACTAGCTTCAAGATCCGCAGCCCTGAGAGCCCTCCCAAGCTGTCAGGCAGCGCCTCCAACCGCATCGCCGAATCAATCCGGAGTGTTTTCAAACGCGAGAGTTGACAGATGGTTTCAGGGAGAGATACAAGGCTGTACATCTCTAGAAGCTTCAGCTTCGTTAGAGAGGATAGCTGGCCAAGGGACGGACTGAGGGTATAGAAAGGGAGAGACTTCATTTTGAGACTATGGAGGGATGGAAGCAATGCCCTACTGGTACTGCTGCTGGTGGCGTTGCTGTTGGAGACCCCCACATAACCCCAGTCAATGCGCTTAAGCACTATCTCATCCCCTAGCAGTGCGCCAACCCCACCACATCCCCGCACCTCCAACACCTGCAGCCCCGGCAGCCTAACAAGTGACGCAGGGAGATGATTCAAGCCCTTCATCCGGGGGATCTTGACCACCTGGAGTGCCTCCAGCCGTTCGATCCCCTCAGGAAAGACCGTCACTTTAGGGCAATTATTCAGTTCCAGGCTGGTGAGTGAAGAAACGCCAGAGAAGGAGGCAGGAAGGGCAGATAAGCGGGGCATGTCTTGGATAACCAATTCCTTAAGGCTTGTCAAGCAACAGAAGCCCTCTAGAAACGTGCCCTTCAAGCGTATGGCTTCCATAACCTTAAGGGATTCGAGAGCCGTCAGGCAGGAGAGGGATGGAGGGAGGTGGGTGAGAGCCGTGCACTCCAGCAGAAGCAGATGACGCAAGCAGTGCAGGCCGTTCCCCATGTCATCTTCCAGCACCTTGATATTCGGACACTTGGCAATCTCCAGGTGCTCGAGAGAAGATAGCTGCGACAGGGAGTCTGGGAGCTGCTGCAGCTGCCTACACTCCACTATTTTCAGCTCCCGTAGAACTGTCAGCTGCCCGAGGGATTTGGGCAGGTGTGTGAGATGTGGAAAGCACTTTAGGCACAGCTTCTCCAAAGAAAGCAGTTGGCCGAACTCCTCGGGCAGACATGTCAGGTTCCAGATATTATGCAAGGAAAGCTCCTGCAGTGTGGTAACCAGAGCGATGGAATCTGGAAGAAGGATTGTGCTACTCCTCAGGTCCAGCATGAGTGTTCGTAGCTGTGACAAGCGTCCAAACTCGTCAGGCAGAACCGAAAGGTGTGACGTGTCAAGGGTGAGACTGGTGAGTGAAGGCAGGCGGAAGAGAGACGTGATATCGCTGCAGCTCTTGATAACCAGAGTCTTGAGACGCCACAGATGCTCAAGCGACTCGATTAGGTCGCGCAATCCCGTGACTTCTTCCATGATAACGGTTTCGAGCCTCCGCAGTCGAGGGAAATTGATGGGTGACAGTAGAAGGAAGCTTGCAGCGTCGACAAGTAGACCCCTGAACTTGTCAGTGACACCGCAATGCACCGCAAGTTTTACCAAACTGTTCCCGCCAAAAAAATTGCACGAACAAAAGTTTTGCGAAGAGAAGACGGTCATGCTAGGCGCAATCTGGCGAACTCCCTTTCGGCTCTGCGAGCTTCGTGGTCCGTCCGAGATGACCAGACCGTACCCGTTTGTGGATACGGACACAGTAACTCATTATTCCGTTCTATAGGCACTAAAAGTACACTGTAGTACCACGGATGTACCCGCTGATGCGCTTCCAATACAACATCCACAATTTGTGGGGGCTAAGAGCTGGGGAAGGTTTGCTTGTAGTCAACGACTACAAGGTATGTTTCTGAAGGAAACTGATAATAGGTAATTTGAGTGCACATAGGTCACTATTGTTCCATTCAACGATAAAAAAAAAATACAAATTTTAATCAGTACAAAGGCAATTGCTCAGGCCAGGCTGCAGTTGTATCATGTAGTGTCAAGACAGGTAACACTACACACTACAATCAGCCTTCATTCTACATCCAAGTCAGTATTGGGACCACAGCACAAGCACTGGACCACAGCACAAGCACTTTTTGGGAAGTACTCCGGAATGATTCTGGATGAAAACGGGCCTGGTTGCAGCCGGCGTGATACAGATACTGAAAGCCAAAGGGAAGCATAGACCTGAAAGAATTCGATGAAAATAGTCAAAACGGCAAAGCGTCGATCAGTTTATTTGTACCGAACCCACACACATACCATAAGGTCTGCACAATGTTGAGACAAAAAAAAAAAACCCACCTGCACAACAGCAGCAGCGGCTCAAGCAAGAGCTAGATGTGTGTTCAAGCGGCGGTCTTGGCAGCGGCGCGCGCCTTGCGCATTTCCTCGACGATGGAGAGCTTGATGCCGCGGCCCTTGGGCAGCGAGACCCAGGGCTTGGCGCCTTGGCCGATGAGGAAGACGTTGGTGAGGCGCGTGGCGAACTGGTGGCCCGCCGCGTCCTTGATGTGGCAGATGTCAAAGCTGCCCTTGTGCCGCTCCCTGTGCTCCATCACCCCCACCCGCCCCCTGTTGCGCCCTCCTGCTCCGCCCCGAGTCAAGGGAACAAACAAAGACAGAGTGTAAGGAGAGATGAAGGAACTGCATGAGCAAAAGGTTGGGTAAAGAACGGGTACTTGAATAAGAGCAACGAACAGAGAACAAATAGCTCTACAACCTGTGCAGCCGCTGGTCAGTAGCGACGAGTATGGTCAATATGAACCCCCCTGAGCTCACCCATAACAACGCATATATCACCTCTCCCCCAGGCTCATCTGTGACCATGCAGATAGCACTTGCCCCTTGAGTGATCACCAGACCATGCAGATAGCACCTACCCCTTGAATGCGCTCACCAGACCATGGAAATAGTACCTGGCCGTATAAAGGGCTCACCAGTGACCATGCGAATGGCACCTCCCCCGGCCCTGACTGAACGGTGACCATGTAGATGTCACCTCCCCCAGGTGTGCCCCCATGGACTGACCAGTGACCATGGCGAGGTTGCCTGCCCTTGCCCCTTAAAGCCCTTACCAGTGACCATGGCGAGGTTGCCTGCCCTTGCCCCTTAAAGCCCTTACCAGTGACCATGGAGAGGTTGCCTTTCAACGCACCGGTGACCATGGCGAGGTTGCCTCCCCCTGCCCCTATAAAGCCCTTACCGGTGACCATGGCGAGGTTGCCGGTGTCGAAGCACGTACCGGTGACCATGCAGAGGTTGCCCCTCTACTCACCGGTGACCATGCAGAGGTTGCCCCTCTACTCACCGGTGACCATGCAGAGGTTGCCCCTCTACTCACCGGTGACCATGCAGAGGTTGCCCCTCTACTCACCGGTGACCATGCAGAGGTTGCCCCTCTACTCACCGGTGACCATGCAGAGGTTGCCTTTCAACGCACCGGTGACCATGCAGAGGTTGCCGGTGTCGAAGTGGATGTGCTCGACGACCTTGCCGCTCTCCAGGTCCAGCTTCACCGTGTCGTTCACCTTGATCACCGGGTCGGGGTACCGGATCGTGCGCCCGTCGTTCGTCACGATGTACGGAATGCCGCGCTCGCCCACGCGCTGCGCGCGCACGCGGCACAGCTTGTACTGCGCGCGGCAGAGGGCAGGGCGGGGAGGGAGGGAGGTGGGGCCGGGGGGGGGAAGGGGGGGGGGGAAGGGGAGCGACGAGGGGAGGAGAAACGGAAACGGGGAAGAGTGAATATGGGTATCACACGGGGATCGGCAATGAGAACGGCGTGTCTATGAGTGCACACGAGAAGACAGGCTTGGCACGCGGCTACCGCAACGAACGGCATCCAAGCTTGTCAAGCATCCAATGGCGTGGCGCATGATCGTCTCCACCAATGCTGCACAACACTATGCTATCACGCTTTCATACTTTCTTTGGCAACGCCCCACAACCACCTCGCTTCGCAATCACAACCACAACAGACAGCCGCACGTATCAGACTCCAACACGCTGCTGCTACTCCACAGGAACCGAAGGGAACCCAAGCAATGCCCCACAGGGAACCCCCCACCTATATCCGGCCTTAGAATGCAATAGCGGCACTCGTCCCTCACTCCTCACATGAGTGCCACATCGCCCGCAATGCAGCAAGCGCCCACTGTGCGTTGGCTCACATGCCACGCCGACACAATCCGCTTCGTCCTCGCATCCCCCCCCATGACAACACTTCTTCCCAGCACCTGTCCACCCTGTCCGCACATGCCCCTGCCCCTGCCTCTGTCCTTTCCCTTCCCTCCCCCTTAGTCCTTTTCTGCGGCCCCAGAAGTGAGCGTTGGGAGGCGCGGAAAATACCTTGGCCTCTTCGGGGGTGATGCGGTGCAGCGTGAAGCGGCCCTTGCTGTCGTACAGCAGACGGAAGTTCTCGTCCGTCTTCGCAATCGACACCACGTCTGCCCGCCGTGCATGCACGCACAGAAACAGGATAAGGGAAAGGGAACCGGCACGGGAGCAGGAGCGTGTTGGATGGAGAGCGGCAGTAGGCAACTGGACTTTGCACGGCGACGCTCCGCACTCGCGCGAAGGAAAGAAAATGCCGAGGATGTGGGAGGTTGGAAACAACCGAAAAATTGGAATCAACCATGTCCTGCGACGAACGCGGGATGTAGGAGGCCAATGGAGCAGGCAGAGCCACGGAAGCGCGCCAGCAGGGGCGGCGGGCTGTGCTGCAACGTAACCTCGCAGTCCATGTGCCAGGAATGTAACGGGCGTTGCACTGCCGGCACCCGCTTGGTCGCCACGCCGCCTGCCGTTACAGCAGCCGGCGAGCGACCGAGCGAGTGAGGTGCGCGCCCTGACTAGTCCTGGACGATTGCAACGGGTTCGGCGCAGCCCATCGCCGATTCCTTCGCATTACGTAACAAGGAAACGTCACTCCAAGGGATGCGCGCCCTGACTAGTCCCGGACGAGACTGCATCCCGCAAAGAGCACGAGGGAGGAATAACTCGGAGAGACAATCAGGAAGCGGAGGCACGCACCCATGAAGCCGGCGGGGAAGGTTTTGTCGGTGCGGATCTTGGCGTCGACGGCGATGAGGCGCTGCATGACGATGGCGTTCACCTCGCGGTACGTCAGCGCGTACTTGAGCCGGTTGCGCAGAATCACCGCCAGCGGCAGGCACTCGCGCTCCTTGTGCGGCCCGGGGGACGGCTTCGGGGCCTGGTGCGCACACGCGGAGAATCATGGAACACGCGGGGAATAATCAGCAACTGGATGAGTCCCGTGAGAAGTTTCTCCGAAGGAAGAGCAATGGGAGCACGAGCCACGCAAGGGTGGGCTGGGACCGCGTAAGGAAACGAGTGGCGTGATGGACGAGACATGGGGGAAGGTAAGGATCTTACGAAGGCTCCCCCGAGCTTGTCAAGCATCCAGTGCCGCGGGGCATTGAGCCTCTTCAAGTGTTTCTTCAATCCTCGAGCCTGCAGCAGCACACGCGCAACGACTGTGAGATGGAGTGCGGGGACAACGTAGCACGGACTGCGATAACAATCTACGCGGACGCACCATTGTTGTGGAAAAGGGAATTCAAGTGATGGAGAAAGCAGAGGAAAAAGGGGCAGGGAAAGGCAGTGCGAGTGTGGGGGAGGGAGCGATCAGATTTGGGTGGACATGCCGGTGGTTCACCACCCATGGCCAGGGGAAACCCTAGTTCTGTCCAACTTGGATGATCCAGTATAGTTTTGTAGCCGTAAACCAGTATATGAGATATTTCTTTGTCTACCTTTTTAAACAGGATTTCGAATTAAAAATGTACATGCGCTTATAATAAGTCAAGGTTTTCCAGGGGGGGCGCTTATAATTGAGGAGCGGCCATAAGCGCATGGCTCCAGATAGAAGCGCCGGCGCTTTTAATATGACAGCGCTACTATCCGGGATGATACGGTACATATGTTTTTCTATTGAATTATTCGAATATAATATTCTTATACTATTGCATGCACAGCTGCTTGTGTAGTATCTCTTACGATATGGAATTGTTGGAAACCATTCCTATGGTAATAAAGTCTTAACGCGAAGATGACTGCAGCGAGGACGAAGACCGAGCGACACAAACAATTATAGAAGACGGTTGCAAGCAGGAAGAATTTGAAGTGCAAAGCGCGGAAAAAAACTTTCAAACAGCTACCGTGGCGCATGCCGTTATCGAAGCGCCCGGTTGGTTTCCCGATCTAGATTAGCCCTAAGGGGAATGTACCCCCTCAGAGTACATGGCTAGCTAGGACCTTTCGTATTCCACTGATAACCCTTGTATTGCATTGTAGTCACTTCTGTCGAGATTCAAATCTCTTTATTCTGACAAGGTCTGTACCCGACAACACTAGCAAACCTTCCGCTGCTGCACTATGTGCAATCAACCTAAGACGATCCTATAAAGTCGTTTCAGATTCTAACGTGGTATGAGAGCCTCTCAGGATTCCTCGCATCACCACCTATGATTCAAATTTGTATGTAAGGTGGCGTCCGGTATGCGCTCCCGCCGAAACATGGCCGGAGGATTTGGCGGGCAAGCAGCTCCCACAGCTGAAGCCCCCGCAAACCCAATTGCGAACTCCGCGGACAACGCCACCGTCAGCAACGCGCTTCTGGAGCAACTCATCAGGCGAATCTCCACATTGGAGTCGGGAATTCAACAACTCAAGAATGGCAATCTGGTAACCTCCAAGCAACCCGACAAACCGCCAGCTCCAAACAAGGAACCAAGCCCAACCACTTTCGATCTCGGATCGAACTCTTTTGCTCCAACCACTTCCCGCCCAAGTGACGAAGCTATGCTCACTACTCAGAAAAAGTTTCTGACCATCCCCAAGATTCGCACTAGCACCGCTTTCAACAAGCAAGATTTCTACACTTGGAGTTTTGAGTTCGAACTGCTTCTCCAAAGCGCACAAAATTTCTGTTATTTCGACGGAAGGTACGCCGGCCCCACTAGCGGCACTAACGAAGCAAAAGCTAAGTATTACAACGATTCGCTCATGGCGTATAGTATTATTCTCCGCAACATGGCGCCAGCCGAACAACTTGGCATTCGCCCCTTTAAAACTTATCCAACCCCCGTCATGGTTGCCTGGAGCTACCTCACCAAAACCTATCAGCCTAAGGACTCCGTCTCCTTCAGCCGCCTGCTCCAGCGAGTCATGGAAGTCAAAATGGTGCCTGGCAAAAAGGCAACGTACTCCTGCATCAACCGCTGCCGCAGCTCCCGTGACCAATTGCTGAAGCTCGACAACTGTATTCCCGGAAATAAGTTTGTCACAATCGTGCTTCGGGGTCTGGGACCTCAATGGACCCCCTGCAAAGCTCTTCTTCGCCAACAAGGCACAATCTCAATAGCGCACCTCTGCGCCACTCTGCTACACGAGCAACAAGTCATCGATTTCAACCAATAAAAAGGGACACGCCGTGAGCTAATCGCCTTCTACTCATATCGCGATCAACGACGAACTGCGACTCGCGCCCACGTCAATTTTACTGCAATAATTGCAATACCTTCGGCCACTCCACAGAACGATGCCGATCCGGACCACGACACGACTTCGCGCCACGCAATAATACAATCTACGGCCCCAATCACACGCGCCAGGCAAACCGACCATCCGCAGCCGCGCGCCAACCACCTCAGCCTGCCTCACAGAGGCCGTCGCAACACATAGCAACCACGTTCGCCACGTCATCAGCAACATGGCAATGCGCGTTCACCGCCATACTCGGCGCACCAATTGAAGACAACTTCGACACGTCTCTCCTCGTTCACCAGGACGAGAAGTCCAATTCACTAGCTACAATAACCCCTTCACGCAGGACAAAAAGTTCGATTTTTTACGAACACGAGCAAGGCTGGGACCTGCCGACGCCCCTGCTCGAATCGCCACCGTACGATGAAGACTTTCTCAACTCACCATCAATCACCAACTACTACATGAAACACTACATTGACGCTCGCCCTGTCGACAACTACCGCGCTACCGACGATAAGCGCATTCCGTTTCGCAACACCCCAAGCCTCTCTCTCTCTCTCTCTCTCGGCACAACATTGCGCTGACACCTACAATACATGGCATCTCAACAGCTGCTGCGGGCAGCACATGGTGGGGTCTAAGCGCTTCATCTCTATTGCGCGATCCATCCCGCAACCCACCATTGTTATAGTGCCATCCAACCAACAGCTTGAAGCACGGGCTCGCGGCATCTTCGTCCTCAAAGCACACGACAGCGACATTCACATCACGCTCAACGACGACATCATCGTGTGAGATCTAAAATACAACCTGCTCTCCTACGAACAGCTTGTCAACAGCGGCATTCTCATGACCACTGACTTAGAGAGTCGGTGCATCTTAATGCACTAGAAGGATTACTGCCGCCCCAACTCCGAACTGTGCTACATCGGCAAGGCGCGCCCTGATAACGGTGTTTACATCCTGAATTTTGACATCCTAGACTGTCGTGCCGATTCTAGTGACCTCATTGATCTCTAGCCCCAGCACAACGTGGGTCCCCAAGGACCAGCACATCCCGACGAGCGCCCCTGGATCAAACATCACGCTCATCCCAAGGAGATTGACCTCCATGCCCTGGACCAGATGGTCTCTGCCGCAACTGTCACATACCAACAGCCTCCACCACAAAGAACAGAGCTAACAAAGGGAAAGCATTGGCATACAAGAAGGGTAAGGCACCAGCTGACGAGGGCGAAACATCAGCCGCAGCAGAGAGGCGCAGAGCAACAGCAGAAGAAAAAGGGAAAGGAAAAGTCGGCAGCAATGAGGAATCTCCAGAGGAAGCAGAATCATCTCAGGAGGAAGAACCGTCAACCATACAACCTGCTAGCTTAGACGTCGTCGAAGAAGCGGAGCGGCGGACCCCCCACCCATTCGGCATGAGAGATGCTGAGCTCGCTGCCGCTCTCACCATCTTCCAACCATGCAAGACTCGAACTGACCCAACTGTTCACGACCGCCTCCATCTTCTCACATGCTACACTGGACCAAGCGCCTTTGATTAGAACAACAACCTTCTCCCCCTGGATTGGGAGACTTATCACTTCACACACCCCTGGTCTCGCCGTAACATGACCTCTGCAGAGTTCCAACGCTTTGAGGAAGAAAAAAATCGCCGCCGCGCAGAAGCTTAATCAAAGGAAGTAGTGGCAGCCAGCAATGATGGATGGCGGGTTTGAGTCGGTGCAATAGCCTGGGAAGGAGCCCTCACCAACAACCTGGGTAGCAGGGACATGGGGAATTCCACTGGTAGAGGAGGAGGAAGAACCGATTGAAGCAGCCATAGCACGAGCAGAAAAGGAGGCAGTTGAAGAAGCAGCAAGACCCTATGGGTCCCCACCACCCATTAGCATCCCTCCCTCACTCCTCTAGTGACTCCTGGACATCCTCAAAATCCTCCAGACCCCCTGCTGATCGTGACACCATTCTCCCATACCGCAGCTATCCCCACAGCTCACTGCCCACTTAATCCACACCTATCGGCCCTTATGATCCAATCACAGCTGGACCATCTACCATCCACAGACCACCACCACCTTACCATGTCCAACGCCCCCACCTCCCTGAAGGCACAGCTGACACAACCAACCTCACAACTCCACTTGCTGCCATCACCACAGTCGAACCAGCACCACAACTTACTACCCGCGACCTCTTCCTCGCCCTTGGACTCTCCATTTCACCATAGCCAATTCTGCAGCCTTCGCCCACCAACATCGCCAAACTGCTCGCCTTCTACGCGCGCTCACCTGCCATCCGCGCACCCTCTGACCTTTGGCACAGGCACCTCGGTCACCCCTCACAAGAAGTTCTTAACAACTGCATCTGCGTTCAAGTATTCATCCCTAGCACTTTGCTCCGCCCCGGCGGGACCCCTGTCCCCATCGAAACCAATCGCTGCACCGACTGCGCCGTCTGCCCTGAAGCTGCACTGAATCACAAACCCTTCAAGCTCCTCGAGCCCAGCACGAATCGCTATGCCAAGCTACATAAAGTCTACAGTGACTTTCTTGTCCTCACACAGACAGGCACCAACAGCGAAGAGTATACACTCACCTGCATCGACGCTTGCTCTCGCTTTGTCTGGGTGCCCAACGTTTCCCACAGGAGCAAGGCGTTCGAGATCTTCAAAGTCAGGTAAGCCAACGCTGAGACTCAATCGGACTGTACACTCAAGATCTGGCAAACGGACTGCGCAGCTGAATTCAAAAACGATAAGCGCGCGGCCCACATTCAGAACAAGGGAGCCTTCACATTCTCTCCCTCCCCTATGCACACCCACAGCAAGGAGTTGCCGAACGCACCAACCGCGCCCTCATGACTAAGGTCCGCGCACTCCTGCAGCAGAGCGACATTGACGCAAAGTACTGGCCCTACGCCATGCATCACGCCGTCCGTCTTCACAATCTGCTTAGCACCACCACCAACACCGACAACCTCTCGCCACATCTCAAGTTCACAGGCGACAAGAGACATACCTCCATGATGCGCGTCTTGGGCTGCATGGCG